TGGCCCACCGTGCTCCTTGGATACAGAAGCCTTATGGGTGTGGCGTTTACTTTTGGGGTGACGAGTACGCTTCGGAACTAGACAGAGGTGGTGGTCCCACACCTGGTGCAGGTAAAGCCACGGGACTGATGACTACATGGCTAATGTCATGTCAGTTCACCTCGAGAAGAAACGCCCTGCTCTCCAAGCTGCCCGGCACGCCTTGGACACCTGCTTCAGGGGCACGGCACAGGCTGACCTTCAGAGTCACATCCCTCCTCTGCGTCCAGCCCTTCCGTGGTTCCCGCTGAACTGAGGACGGACCCAAAACCCACACAGAACCTGGAAGCCCTGCCTGCGCCCAGCTCTCGCCCCCACTGGCTCCCTCCGGCCGCAGGCTCCAATCACACAGGCTCCCAGCAGTCCCAGGGCACACTCCCAGCACAGGGCTCCCAGCAGTCCCAGGACACACTCCCAGCACAGGCTCCCAGCAGTCCCAGGACACACTCCCCGCACAGGCTCCAAGCAGTCCCAGGACACACTCCCAGCACAGGGCTCCCAGCAGTCCCAGGGCACACTCCCAGCACAGGGCTCCCAGCAGTCCCAGGACACACTCCCAGCACAGGCTCCCAACAGTCCCAGGACACACTCCCAGCACAGGCTCCCAGCAGTCCCAGGACACACTCCCAGCACAGGGCTCCCAGCAGTCCCAGGACACACTCCCCGCACAGGGCTCCCAGCAGTCCCAGGACACACTCCCCAGCACAGGGCTCCCAGCAGTCCCAGGACACACTCCCCAGCACAGGCTTCCAGCAGTCCCAGGACACACTCCCCAGCACAGGCTCCCAGCAGTCCCAGGACACACTCCCAGCACAGGGCTCCCAGCAGTCCCAGGACACACTCCCCAGCACAGGGCTCCCAGCAGTCCCAGGACACACTCCCCAGCACAGGCTCCCAGCAGTCCCAGGACACACTCCCAGCACAGGGCTCCCAGCAGTCCCAGGACACACTCCCCAGCACAGGCTCCCAGCAGTCCCAGGGCACACTCCCAGCACAGGCTCCCAGCAGTCCCAGCACACTCCCAGCACAGGCTCCCAGCAGTCCCAGGACACACTCCCAGCACAGGGCTCCCAGCAGTCCCAGGGCACACTCCCAGCACAGGCCCCCAGCAGTCCCAGGACACACTCCCAGCACAGGCTCCCAGCAGTCCCAGGGCACACTCCCAGCACAGGCTCCCAGCAGTCCCAGGACACAGTCCCAGCACAGGCTCCCAGCAGTCCCAGGACACAGTCCCAGCACAGGCTCCCAGCAGTCCCAGGGCACACTCCCAGCACAGGGCTCCCAGCAGTCCCAGGACACACTCCCAGCACAGGGCTCCCAGCAGTCCCAGGACACACTCCCAGCACAGGCTCCCAGCAGTCCCAGGGCACACTCCCAGCACAGGGCTCCCAGCAGTCCCAGGACACACTCCCAGCACAGGGCTCCCAGCAGTCCCAGGACACACTCCCAGCACAGGCTCCCAGCAGTCCCAGGGCACACTCCCAGCACAGGCTCCCAGCAGTCCCAGGACACAGTCCCAGCACAGGCTCCCAGCAGTCCCAGGACACACTCCCAGCACAGGGCTCCCAGCAGTCCCAGGGCACACTCCCAGCACAGGCCCCCAGCAGTCCCAGGACACACTCCCCGCACAGGGCTCCCAGCAGTCCCAGGGCACACTCCCAGCGCAGGCTCCCAGCAGTCCCAGGACACACTCCCAGCACAGGCTCCCAGCAGTCCCAGGGCACACTCCCAGCACAGGGCTCCCAGCAGTCCCAGGGCACACTCCCAGCACAGGCTCCCAGCAGTCCCAGGGCACACTCCCAGCACAGGGCTCCCAGCAGTCCCAGGACACACTCCCAGCACAGGCTCCCAGCAGTCCCAGGACACACTCCCAGCACAGGGCTCCCAGCAGTCCCAGGGCACACTCCCAGCACAGGCTCCCAGCAGTCCCAGGGCACACTCCCAGCACAGGCTCCCAGCAGTCCCAGGGCACACTCCCAGCACAGGCTCCCAGCAGTCCCAGGGCACACTCCCAGCACAGGGCTCCCAGCAGTCCCAGGACACACTCCCAGCACAGGCTCCCAGCAGTCCCAGGACACACTCCCAGCACAGGGCTCCCAGCAGTCCCAGGGCACACTCCCAGCACAGGCTCCCAGCAGTCCCAGGACACACTCCCAGCACAGGGCTCCCAGCAGTCCCAGGACACACTCCCAGCACAGGCTCCCAGCAGTCCCAGGACACACTCCCAGCACAGGGCTCCCAGCAGTCCCAGGGCACACTCCCCGCACAGGCCCCCAGCAGTCCCAGGGCACACTCCCCGCACAGGGCTCCCAGCAGTCCCAGGGCACACTCCCAGCGCAGGCTCCCAGCAGTCCCAGGGCACACTCCCAGCACAGGCTCCCAGCAGTCCCAGGGCACACTCCCAGCACAGGCTCCCAGCAGTCCCAGGACACACTCCCAGCACAGGGCTCCCAGCAGTCCCAGGGCACACTCCCAGCACAGGCTCCCAGCAGTCCCAGGACACACTCCCAGCACAGGCTCCCAGCAGTCCCAGGACACACTCCCAGCACAGGCTCCCAGCAGTCCCAGGGCACACTCCCAGCACAGGCTCCCAGCAGTCCCAGGGCACACTCCCAGCACAGGGCTCCCAGCAGTCCCAGGGCACACTCCCAGCACAGGCTCCCAGCAGTCCCAGGACACACTCCCAGCACAGGCTCCCAGCAGTCCCAGGGCACACTCCCAGCACAGGGCTCCCAGCAGTCCCAGGGCACACTCCCAGCACAGGCTCCCAGCAGTCCCAGGGCACAGTCCCAGCACAGGGCTCCCAGCAGTCCCAGGGCACAGTCCCAGCACAGGGCTCCCAGCAGTCCCAGGGCACAGTCCCAGCACAGGGCTCCCAGCAGTCCCAGGGCACACTCCCAGCACAGGCTCCCAGCAGTCCCAGGGCACACTCCCCGCACAAGCTCCCAGGAGTCCCAGGGCACACTCCCAGCACAGGGCTCCCAGCAGTCCCAGGACACACGCCCCGCACAGGCTCCCAGCAGTCCCAGGACACACTCCCCGCACAGGCTCCCAGCAGTCCCAGGACACACTCCCCGCACAGGCTCCCAGCAGTCCCAGGGCACACTCCCAGCACAGGGCTCCCAGCAGTCCCAGGGCACACTCCCAGCACAGGCTCCCAGCAGTCCCAGGACACACTCCCAGCACAGGCTCCCAGCAGTCCCAGGGCACACTCCCCGCACAAGCTCCCAGCAGTCCCAGGGCACACTCCCAGCACAGGGCTCCCAGCAGTCCCAGGACACACTCCCCGCACAGGCTCCCAGCAGTCCCAGGACACACTCCCCGCACAGGCTCCCAGCAGTCCCAGGACACACTCCCCGCACAGGCTCCCAGCAGTCCCAGGGCACACTCCCAGCACAGGGCTCCCAGCAGTCCCAGGGCACACTCCCAGCACAGGGCTCCCAGCAGTCCCAGGGCACACTCCCAGCACAGGCTCCCAGCAGTCCCAGGGCACACTCCCAGCCCAGGGCTCCCAGCAGTCCCAGGGCACACTCCCAGCACAGGCTCCCAGCAGTCCCAGGGCACACTCCCAGCACAGGGCTCCCAGCAGTCCCAGGGCACACTCCCAGCACAGGCTCCCAGCAGTCCCAGGGCACACTCCCAGCACAGGCTCCCAGCAGTCCCAGGGCACACTCCCAGCACAGGCTCCCAGCAGTCCCAGGACACACTCCCCGCACAGGCTCCCAGCAGTCCCAGGGCACACTCCCAGCACAGGCTCCCAGCAGTCCCAGGGCACACTCCCAGCACAGGGCTCCCAGCAGTCCCAGGACATACTCCCAGCACAGGGCTCCCAGCAGTCCCAGGACACACTCCCAGCACAGGGCTCCGGCTGCTGCCCCCTCGCCTGGAGCGTGTTCCCGTGGCTTCCAAAGGGCTGGCTCCTTCTCATGCTTCCTGTCTCAGCTCAGCGTCATCCCCAAAGGCCTCCCTCTGTGACCACCCCAAAGCGACGGGCCTTTCCTGTCATTCTGACCGCAGCCCCGAGAGACAACCTGGACTTGTCTCCCACACTCCTTGCCCGTTTGTTCCCCCATCTTCCCAGCGGCGGAATAGTGCCTGGCACAGGACAGAGGGGCCCAGCTCACAGCAGCTGTTGAACTGGACGAGGCCACGAACGAAATGACAACCACTCTGTTATCTGCACAGCTGGGGGGAGCAGAGCGAGGATGGACGCGCAGCGGAGGAAGCAGAGGTGCTCCGCGGGCGGGGGACCTTCCCGAGCCCAGGTGTGGAGCCGGTTCCGGGACGGGCCCCTTCCACCACCAGGAGCTGGAAAATGGTCTTTCTCTAGTCACACTGCATTTTTTTAAAAACCTAATTAACTTTTGTTAACAGATGTTTCTCCCGCCTACCCCAACATACCGTGTTTTCCCCCCAAACATTTCCCAAACGGTACTTCATGAGGAGGCCCAGTACAATATTGAAAAAGATGTCGCCAAAGTGTGGGGGGAGGTGGGGTCAGGTGAGGGTGGGGCTGGCCTGTCTCTAAGGCACCTGCACAGACCATACGGGCTCTGAGAAGCTGAGTACAAAACTGTGGTGTGAGCTTGAAACAACCCCAAAGCCTCTGATTTTTTAAAAAGGTGTAATTTACAGTGACAAAATTCGCCCTTTGTGGGTACGGAGTTCCCCTCGTTCTGAAACACGCAATCAGGACACCACGATGCAGCGTTTCCACTGTGCAGCCAGCTCCCCGTCCCTTCGGGGTGATCCCTGCCGCGCTCCCAGCCCTGGCAGCCGCTGACCGGACCCCTCCCTGAGGCCTGTCTCCCCGGAGTCGCAGCAACGGCGTCAGACAGCGAGCGGCCTCTGGTGCGGGCCCTGTCCACTCTTCCGAACGGCTGGGACTACAGACCAGCGCTTCTACCTCGAAGCACTACTTCCCGCCACCCTCCCGAGTAAGAAGCAAGAGCACGACTTACCTTCTGGAATACCTGGTAGTTAGACTTGGACCATATATCCAGCTGGGGGAAGAGACAAAAGCATCATCAGTGTCAGTTTTAGAACATGGACTTCAAAAGTGATACTCTAACCACTTTCCTAAAGAATAAAACACGATCACAGATTAACCGCCGTGGGAAGGACGTAAATGCCCTGCCTGAAGATCTTCACCAGCCTGTGCCTTGAGGAGGCTCACGGAGGGACAGAGAAGCCAGCCCGACCCCTGGTCGTGGGCGAGGCCCGTGAGCCGAGCCCGTGCTCACTCTTCTCACCGTGACCCCAGCACCGTTCCCTCGCACGCTCGGCGGGCCAAGGCCAGTCTTGCGGGGACCTCCGCACTGGCACGACCTTTGCCGGGGCTGCTTTCCCATGAACCTCAGGGCTCCTCCTATGCTCCCGGAGCGCCAATGTCACCTTATCAGAGAGGCACGTCCCAGTACTCTGCCTGAATGTTATTCCCATATCCTTTCTCTTCTCTTTATTCTTTCGAAACACTTCCATTTCCATAGCATTTAAAGCTGCCGGAACCTTTCTGTGTTATGCGTCCTGGCCTGGCCCTGGCCTGTCAGGCTGCAGCGGGTCCTTCTGAGTGGAGCGAAACTCCAGCCGGCACCACACTGGGGCCTCCACCTGCATGCTCTCCCTGAACCCCCAGGGCAGCCCATGCGGCTGATCCCACCAGCACCCTTACTTTCCACATGACAGACAGCGGTCCAGAGCCACTCAATTGCCCCAGGTAACCCGCGGAGGCCTCCCCGGACTGTCTCACCGGGTGGTGCGAAACCTGGAGACCCTCCTCCGCTGTTCGCATACAGACCCCGGGTCCCTGCCGGAGTGTCTGAGCAGCAGGTTTGGAGTGGGCTGAGAATGTGTCCTCGTTAGAGCCCTGCCCTCCAGAGAAACTGCGAGTGCTGGTCAGGGCAGAGCCTGGGATCTAGGGCACCCCTGCCTCACAACCAGGGAACGTGGGGGTCTGGGACGAAAGGCAGGTAGGGCTCAGAGTAAACCCAGTCCAGTCCTTTGGCCACACTTGGTTCTGTACAGGGCATTTCAAGGCAGAGTCTCACCAAACCAGTCTGGGGTTACAGGTTTGCGTGAGAAATCCAATCAATGCCCTCTCACTATTTCAAGAACAAAGCGGCTACGGCGAAAACAGTCACCCCAGTGCACTGCTGGGAGGGAGCTAAAGATCGTGCAGATTCAGGCAGGGCCATCAGTGTGTCCCTGGTGCTAAGAAGTCAACTTCAGTATACGAGGTCAAGAGCTGAGCAAACTGAAACACCTGGCCAATGGGCCTCTTGGAACCTGCTCTGGGCTTGGCCAGTGGTCGGGGTGGGAACCGACAGTGGTGTGAGCCTGCATGCTGTGCTGCTGATTTCGAAACACCTGGGAGCATGAGAAACAATCAGATGGGAAGACTTCCCTAAGAACACAGGGAGTGTTGCATTGGGTAGGGACAGTTCTGTCCCGAGGAAGACACCAACAGTCGGCCTTCTCAAAACAGGCCTTAGAAATGAAAAGTAGGGCTGTGGCCCTGACTGGTGTGGCTCAGTCGGTTGGAGTGTCGTCTCGTACACCGAAGGGTTGCGGGTTCAATTCCCAGTCAGGGCACATACTTGGGTTTCACGTTGGTGTCTCCCTCGCAAATCAATAAGCACATCCTCAGGTGAGGATTAAAAAGAACTCGGGCTGTGAACAGACATACATCTAGTTCTGCCTTCTTCCCGCTCACGATCAGTCTCACGTACATTTCTCGGCGTCTGGGAGCTTCTGGCCGCGGAAAGGCTCGGATGGCCCTGAGGCCTCTCCCTCTGCCCTGTGGCACCGCGCGGAGGCGGCACTGCCCAGGGCCAGGACACTTGGAAGAGCTCGATGGCCCGAGCAGTCGCTCGTCTTCCTTCCCCACCCCGGGACTGGCGCCGCCCCTTCCTGGGCTTCCGCAACAGCCCCCCAAGCACCCCTCCCCTATTCTGGCTAACTGCTCTCCAGAGGGGGCTGTCATTTTCCAGTCACTCCCCCCAGTTAAACCAATTCATGGGGTAACAACTCTAAAAAATCTTTAGGCATTATAATTTCATTTGGCAGGTTGGCAATCCTGGGGTAGGGGGTGACACGCTACTTTCTGTAAGTCTGAAGGAAACCTCCGCAGAAGCGTGAAGTGAGGCCCCCACACAATGGTTCTGCTGCAGAGCAGTCCTGTGGGCAGCTGGTCACCCTGGGGTGGGGGTGGGGGAGTGGGAAGTCAGGTTCGGGTTCTATTCTTAGTGCGCAGTTTAGCCCAGGACTCAGAAGATGCAGCTTTAATGACTACCCAGAGACTGCTGAGTGAATGACGTTTTGTATCTTTTAGTTCTAACAAATCACTGCCAGGATGACGGGAAGATGACAAAGACTCTGACTCTAAATTTTCGGAAGAATAACATCCACGTCTGGACTGGGAACTGAGACACTCTCCTGCCGGTTTATGCCCACGGTGGTTTCTTCTGAAGGTCTCCACTGTGCCTCCCGCCTGCCCTGCCGCACACGGCACACCGAGACAAACCGCGGGCCAGGGGCGAGAGGGAGGAGTCTGACCACACAGAAAAGTTAAAGCTTTTATTTCAAAGATAAAATTATTTAAAAAGAAAATAACAAAAAACCTTCAGTACTGCAAAGTGTTTTAAGAGACACTCAGCGAGGGAAGAGGCACCAGTTAACCGAGAGCCAGGCCGCCCAGCCTGACCGTGGCTGCTGGCAGCACCGTCTCATTCGAGTGCGTGTGCTGCTCCTCCTGAAAGGTGGCGGCGACCTCATATCCGGCCCCAGAGGATGGCTGGGACCATCTGTGACAGAAGGACGGTCCGCGCGCCCCACACTTAGCAGGTGCGCACGGTAAGAAAGGGACTGGCGGCAATGGGCCCGTGTGCCCGTGCAGGCAGAGCAGGAGGCGTGCACTCGATTTTCCGCTAGATTTATGCCAAAGAAAGCCACTGACGCAGGCGCTCTGGGCCGGCGCCCTGCCTCTCCTGGGGGCCAGGAGATTCTGGCAATTCATTTCAGGGAGCCACGTCTGACCCAACTGAATATGCATTGGCTTCAGCTTCTCTGCTGCAAGGGCCGCAGGGCTACGGTCTTTGCTGGCTGTGGGGTCCAAACAGGAACATTCTAGAGACTGCAAACTTTCTGCCTGATGCATGGAAATTATTCTGAACTATAGTGTCATGAAAAAAAGTGAAGTGCATCTCAGTATTCTGGGCAAGCGTCAGAAAGGCCGTCAAATGGAAAAGCCAACCCTGATGACTGGCTGGAGACGCAGCCCTGGACAGCCTCCGGGCCTCTGGGACTCGGGATGAGTGTTTCAGGGGTGGGGATGCATAAGGTCTGTCCTCAGTTAGATCAAAACAGACCCCACAGATGACCAACTTCTTCAGCCCAGACACTTCTGCTCCCAGGCCCAGGAAGGACTAGCGAAGAGTCACAGAAGTTCACGTATGGAAAAGAAACATCAGAGTGACCCAACACCAGCAGGCCCGGGAAGTCTACCACGTGGCCACCGCCAGATGACCCCGCCACAACCAGCGAGGCAGGCACCTCTCACGGACGACGGCACATTCGGCCTGCACTGCACCCTCCCAGCCTTCGCACAAGGATGATAAAACCACTCCCGAGTCCCAGATAAAGAAACTGAGGCTCAGGGAGCCAAGTGACTTGTTCAGCATCACAGAGTGATGTGTGATGGGGAACGAGAAGCCAGGTCTGTCTCCAGAGGCCCGGGTCTTAAGCCAGGGGGAAGACTGCCCGGCAGCCGGAACCCCCAAACTGCCACGCACCTTCGGGAACTACAGATGTGACCATCATCACCACTAAAATTCATTTGACAGCAACTGAAAATTTTGGCAGCTGATCAGAAAGTTATCAATTCTTCATTTCAAAAAATAGTACAATGAGCTATAAATTATCCAAAATTGACACTTCCAAATAAAACTCATAAGCCTCACAGGGACTTTAACTTTTTTTTTTTTAAATCCTCACCCAAGGATATTTTTCCATCTATTTTTAGACGAAGTTGGGAGAGGGAGTAGGGAGGAGGGAGAAGAGAGAAAGAGAGAGAGACAGAGAAACATCGATTTGAGAGATAATTGGTTGTCTCCTGCATGACCCCAACTAGGGCCAGGGACCGAATCGAGACCGAGGCACATGCCCTTGACCGGAATCAAACCCATGGCTCTTTGGTCTGTGGGCCGATGCTCTAACCACTGAGCTACCCACCAGGGCGACTTCAATTTTTAAAGCTTTTATTTATTAGTGGCTTCATCTTGCAAGGTCAAGAGGTGATGTGCCACAGGGGTAGAAGGCTGTACACCATGAACGGCGGTGCATTTCTCCATGGTGACCCAAGGGTTCAAAACCGCAAACTTCTCCTTGGTCATCTACATCCGTCTGCCCACCCGCCCGGAGGAGAAAAGAGCGGACCAGTCTGACCACAGAATGCAGCGTTACAGGTCTGTTATTCATGGACTTTTCACTTTCAATCAGGACACACGTTTGTCACCAGGAAAGTGCTGAAAGCACAATTCCAGGGCCTCCTCTGCATGGGAATCACCCCGGATCCCCTTCCCCAGCTTGTGCCCTTTCCCACAGTAACAGAGGCCATTTTTCTGAAGGTCGTCTGCACAATTTCAAAGGCTGTACCAAATCAAAATGTTCCCTGCATCTAATATCAAACGGGGCTGATGCCAACACTTATTAGAGAAATCAGATTCAAGCTTCCCCGACCCACACACACACACACACCCAACTTTGAAGCGGGAAGAATGCAAGGATCAGAAATTACCCTGGAGACAGCGCTGGCTGTCTTTGAAGGTTCCCTTTGATACCATCATTTCTTTTCCTCTCTTACGCTGGAAGGCTAAAAGCAGCCCCCCTTTTTTTAAATTGATACGGGATAATTAATGAAACGATAGCATTAACATAACCTAAATCCCCTAATAAGATAAATTCAACCGAGACACTTGCATTTTCTCAGTACTGACTGGTGTAAAAC